AACTAAAAGTTGTATTTGAACACTTACTAAAAGCCTACGATTATGGTACTTAGAAAATAGCAGGAAAAAAAAAAGAGAGAAAGTGACTGATGACTTTAGGTATTTCATCTGTGTTCTAATTGTCGTTCATTTCCATAAAAACAACGGTTGTGCCAATTGTSCCTATTCCAGGTCAGTTTTCAACTCTAAGAACTTCAGTCCCATGTTTTGTGGAGGATTAAAAGTATGACTGAAACTACAGAGGAACATAGTTAACAGTACTGAGTACTAGTCAGTGAAGATGGCATTGTTTTATGAAAATCATATTACTTGGGAACTCATGTTTCAAGGAAATAAGTATAAGGCCAAATTTTCTTTGAGTTACTCTGAATACTGAGACATGCCTGAAGATTTTCTGCTGTGTCTGTATTCAGGAACAGCAGATAAAATGTGTCCTCTGTGCCTCAGTTCATATTGCTCTGTCATGAAGCTCTGTAACTTCAAAGTGCTTTCTATGTCATGCTGAGTGAAATAAGCCAATCCTCAAAAACCAAAGTCGGAATGTTTGCTCTGCTCTGCAGATGCTAACTCACTCTAAGGGTGGGGGAGCTAGTGAAGACTTTAGATGAGGTGGAGGGGAGTGAAGGRAGGGTAGGGGCCTGGGGATAGGAAAGACCGGAGAATGAGTCAGGCATTATTACCCTAGGTACATATAGGACTTTTAAAATGCATTCTGTTGTATGCATACATCACATTTTCTCTTATCTGTTCCCCATTCTATGGACATTTGGTTGTTGACCTTTCTTGGTATTATTTCTAGTGCTGCAGAGTTGGTGAGATTGCTAATCTCTYTTCTATTCCAGATTCTATTTTCAGTAATCTCGGATAAATACTGAGAAGTGTAATTGCTGATCATATAGTAGCTGTATTTCTAAAAAATTTTTAGTATATTCCATATTATTTTTCATGATTAGCTGTACCATTTTGAGTAGCTGTTGCCACATCTATCCCTTGCACCTTCTAGCAAACCAGATCCTCTTCCAAGATRGAATGGAAATTAAACTCTCTCTTCTCAGTACTTAAATAATTTTCCTCAGAAAACTCAAAAATGCTCCAGTAATCTGCAGTTGTGATACAGAGAATTTACTCTTGGAGCTGCCTGGAATTCCCCTCTACTCCCCCAAAGAGGGCTCATAAAGTTTAATATTTTAACCTCAAGTAATACTAAGCAAGAGGTCATGAGAGGTTTTCTGTTGCTATAATATTAAAAGTTCTTCCTGCCTTGATGGATCTTGTTGAATGAGGTGTTCCATTTGTCTCTTTCCAAATTATAATCTTAATTTTTAAAACATATAGCATTCAGAAATCTATGTTCAGATGATAGTAGGAAACAGTATTGCATTTCCCCAAGCGCTGCAGGAAATGCACTTAGGTAGGACAACCCTTAGCCACTGCTCTGAAACCCGCATGTCTATGTTTGCCATCAGGTGGACTTTGGTGACAAGCTCTGACCTGCAGAGCTTGGGCCCGCTACGTCATGCCCTCAGTGTGCATGTGCATGCATTTTGCTACAGAAGTGCTGTGTGAGGCCATGGGGGTGTGACCTGGGTGGGGCTCAGTTGTGGGGGTACTAAATGGTGTATACAGCCATATTCCATAAAAAAAATGGAGGAATATATATGGTCCCAAGAATTTTAGGGAAGGAATTACGTGCCTGCGGTTCATCTTCTGCCAAATTTTATTCCCTTAAATCTTCAGTAGTTTGAAGTTGTGACTGAATCAGCTGCACCACAGAACCAAAACTATGTTCCGCTGAAGCTGTCCAGGTGCCTGGGGGTAGCAGTGAACGGTAACCCTCTTAGCGGACTTCTGATGCAATTGTGAGAAGTTGGATCACACAAAGTTTCAAACAYGAATGTCCAAGTATTCAGTAGCTCTGGCCCATCCTGTTTCATTCACACCCCAGTGGGCGTCCGTTTCAGCCTCACATATTTTGAAGCAAGTTTCAAACATAATTGGGTTGGTTATATTTACATATGTTCCCTAAAATCTAAGGACTTAAAAAAATCACATTATCCTACCTGAAAAAACTAATTCTTAATATTGAATACTCAGTCAATGCTAATATTTCCCAAGTTGTCTAAAATCATTTTTTTAAAGTTCATGTTTGAATCAAGATGCAAAGAAGACTTGCTCATTGTGGTTGTTGCTCTGTGTCTTGAATCTCTAAACTCATGGTCTCTCCCTCCCCCTCTATTTCTAGCTATTAGTAGAAGCACCTGAGTCCTTTGTTCTTTTTTCCTGAAGAGCTCGAGTTCCCGGCATCTGGATTGTTGCTGGTTGTGTGTGTGATCTATGTGTTCGGTCTCCTCTACCTGGATCTAGAGGCCACTGTTACTTGACTGAGTGCTTCATTAGGTAGAAGTGTGCTATTCCAGCAGCACATGAATGACACGGAATCCTGTCCTTCTGGTGACCACTCCTAAAATCTGTCACTTTGGAGTTTGTAGGGTGGAGTGCTGTTTTGCCATTCCCTTCCCATCTTCGCAGCCTGCATGTCATTGTAAAAAGAGACACTCCACATCAACCATGCCATCACAATTCACTTAGAAAGGGTAGGGTTCTTCTTTGTTTAGGGTCGGTTGTCTTATGTCATCCAAGGTGGACAGGGCAGACTTTGGCCTGTGTGGCTGGTTGGCTGTGTCTTCTTCAGTAGGATTGAAGATAGCTGGGCTTCARTCCACAACAGTTAATCTGTGGATGATGATACGTCTTGTCTTGGGACTGTTGGCAGATGGCTCCTCCCTTGCCTAATACTTTCATTGCTTCCCTACGTCCTGAAGTGGGATGCTTCCAGCTTTTCTGCCCACTTCCTTCCCAGACCCAAGTTCATCCTTTTTTTTTTTTTTTTTTTTTTTTGGTGTTTGCATTTCTTTTAGTGGGAAATGGTTTGTAGAGATCACAGCCTTGGAATAACAGGTGCCTTTTCTGCGGAGTACTTTACACTTAGGCCTTTGTCATGTGGTTATGGGAGACGCTGGTTTTCATGAAAACTCTCATAGAAAAAGTAAGTCTTCCCATTGAGACTCCCAAGCGAGATCCAGAACTACAGGATGCTTACATGACCCCATCAAGCTTTCCTCTGTATTGCTAGGTCCCAAACTTGGGCTTCAAGGGTACCACCTTGATACACCTACTGGGTTTATTCCACAATACCAACGTTGCCACCAACAGTTTAATTACTAAAGAGTCCACAGGGTTTTTGTAATTCCTCCAGTCTGGAGGATTCAATCCACTAAGGATGTAGAAATTACGCTTCAGAGTTGCTTGGGGTAGTTCTCTGTCTGACAGGCCACAACCCTGGAGCATTTAGATACAGYTGATTAATTTCTCCATCAGTTTTCAAGACTGCTTTTTAAAATTCAAAATTGTGTTTTATGATGTCACATATTCACATGGTCCCAAGCCACATGTAAGTAAGGGGTATTCAGTGAAGCTGCCTTCTATGTGTGCCCTGTCCTATATCCCTTCCTTTCCCTACTGGTGATCACATTGACTAGTGCTCGTCCCTCTGTGAAATGATATCAGGTGTGTGTGTGTGTGTGTGTGTGTGTGCGAGTGTGTGTATTCACCTCTTTCCTAGCTGCGTGCGGGTTACACTCCCTTGTACCCCCAGTGATATCTGGCAGTGTGTGGACACATTCCTCAGCTCTGCCTTGTGTTGTGAAGACCAGATGCTGTAGTTTGGACCTGTAGTGCCCCTCAGAGGCCCGTGGGCCAGAGGCTGGGTGCTAGCTTGGTGCTTAGAGAGGAGGTGAAACTAAGGCAAGGGGTTATGATGGCACCCCAGCCCTTTCCCCTCCCCTCACTTCCCAGCCATGGTTGAGTGGCTTGGCTCTCCCCACCATGATTGGCTGCTTCACCACAGGTCCCAAAGCAGCTAGGCCAATCAGCCATGAATTGAAACCTTCAAAACTGTGAGCCCGAATAAACCTTTTGTCTTTACACCTTGGTTATCTTAGGAATTTGTCACAGTAACAGAAAGTTGACACCATAGTTTCATCCAGTCTCCTATTGGTGGACGTTCGAAATTAGGTTAGATGTAAACTTGCAGAAAGGTTAAAAATTAAATGTTAACATTGATTTTGGGGGGTAAAATGCAATGTTGAGAATGGGTGTCATAGTAACATAGAATTCAGTCTCATGTTTTAAAAGCTTTACCATGTTTCCTCTAAGTCTGAGTGACCATTCAATAGGTAGCCATTTAATATAGCACCATGTAGATATCACAGTAATTCTTGATTGGTTTGTGTATTTTTGCAATTAGGCTAATCTATTTTTAGAAATGTTTCCTAGGTATTCATACACACGTTTTAACTGTACATCGCTCTAGTGTAAAAGCGGCTTGTTTACAATGATTTATTTAGAATGAACTCACAGGAAAGCCACATTTCCTGAAATGACTAAAATAGCAGGGTAGCCAACAGGCTGAGAAAGCATTTTTTAAAGAATCGCAGTCCTGGACTGGGGGTGTGGCTCAAAAACAAAAGAAAACCAAAAATACTGGCCTGGCACCAAAACAAAATTACTGTTCTTATTGAGGTGGGTAGGCAGAGTATGAAATAATGAAGTAGTAGTTCTCTTTGGTGTTGGGGATTGAACCCAGGGCCTTATGCATGCCAGGCCAGCACCCTACCAACTGAGCTAGGTCCCCAGCCCCCAGAGACTCTTCTTAACATGAAGAGGAAATGGATGGCCACTTGTAAAGTGTTTTAGAATAATGCCTGGCACATGTTAAATACTATATATGCTTTTGTTATTATTTGAAAGGAGAAAGAGCTCTGCATGCTAAATTCCTGATTTAGCGCAGTACTAACGGAACTCTCAGGCCTTTGGGATCACGTTACCTAACACTAGTGACTTTACATCTGGGCGTGTTTATTTTTGCCGCGTCAACTTCATTTAGTCGGTCCAAGTTGAGTCAGTGCTTAATGGTCCACTTCACCGAGCTCCGGGGGCGCGGTGCCAGGAGCAGAAGGCCGCGGGGCTGGGCCTTCCAGCAACCGGGGAGGGTATAAGTAAGCAGTGGCCCCTGAGATAAAATAGGAAACCTGGAAAACGAACGTCAGGAGCAGCTCTGGACTCGCTGCCGACGGGCAGCAGGTGAGAGCACCCTGGGGACGCGCCTGGCTCGTGGCCTCACCCCGGGAGCGGCTGGGTCAGCGGCGGGCGGTCTCCGCGTGGAGCGCTGGGCACCGTGTGCCCGAGACCGCGTGGGAAGGAGGGACTCCGCGCGGTGCACCTGGAAGGGCGCGAAGCCCAGGTCGTCCTCCAGCCGGGTCCCAGGGCCCGGGAGCGCGCCGCCGGGACGAGCTGGGACCAGGGCGCGGCAGGGGCCGGCCGGGCGGTGGCACTGGCCTCCGCTGGGGGGAGTGCAGCCCGCGCGGGCCCCGCGGGGTGGGTCGCGGGTTCCTCCCCGAGCCCGCGCCCGCGCCCGCGCCCCGCGGCCCCGCCCGCCGCCTGCTCCCGGGCGCCCCCTGGCCCCGCGGCGCACCGAGGTTTCCGGCGAGCGCGGTGGCGGGTGTGGCGATTCCCTCCTCCCCGCGGCCCGGGTCTGCCGTCTCCGCGGCTCCAGGTGGGCCTCTCCGCGACCCCCGAGCTGCGCCCGCGCTCTGCGCTGCCCGGCCGCGGCCTCCGGGAGGGCCGAGCCTCCGCGCTCCTCCCCATTCCCTGCAGCAGGGACGGCGGCGGGCACCCTCCTGGCCCGCCCGTTCCGCGCCTGGCCTCCCCGGAGCCGGCTGGGGCGCGCAGGGCCCCGGATCACGCGGGCCGCCTCTGCACCCAGTCGGCCGTGTTTCCCAGGCCCTCCCGGGTGCGCCCGGGTCCCCGGGTCGCGGCGCCCAGGCGGTCCCGGGAGAGCCTGGCCGGGGTCGCCAACAGGGCGCAGGGTCTGCGCGGCGCCAGGGCGCTGGCTGCCGGGCCCTCCAGACTGGGGAGGGGGCGGGTGTCGTGGCAGACAGCTGGGGGACCGGGTCCTGGCTGCCGAGCCCTTTCTGAGCCCTGCTCATACCCACCGCGGGACTTGGCGACACAGGTGGGGACCCGGCAATTAGGAGTCCTTGCATCTCAGTTGCATCTGGCTCAGAGCTCTGTCAGAGAGCGCTGCGTGTGTCGCCACTGTGGCTCCGTCCCCCCCAGGTTTCATCTCTGGTCATTTGTTAGATTTTGCAGTTTTCCCTCTCTGCTTCTAGGCCTGTGGAAGTCCCATCAAGGGACCAGGAGGTGGAGGAGGCCAGCCCTGCTGGCTGGAGATAGGCAGCACAGCTCCCAGCGCTGCCCACTGCTGGACCCCCTGGACCATCGTGGCTCCCCGGCCAGGCACATGCAAGAGGACAGACCCCAGAAAGACTCTGCTTTCACACATCCGCAGCTGCCATCCAGTTTAAGCCAGGGGTAGGTTTAACATCTGCCTCTTTACATTTTCCCTAAAATCTAAATGCCCAAGTGTTACTTTTCTTCTGGGATGGGGTTCACTTAGGGCCAGAGCTCCCTCAAGACAGTGGACTTCCATAACCACAGTTCGGGCCTGGGTCAAGACATGGAATGACTTTGTTACCCCAAGGGCCAGCCAAAGGGTAGGATAGCCTGTCCACGCACCTCCAGGCCACTGGCAGCTCTGCAGAGAGCAGGACGTGTTTGCCCTGCTGAGGGATGTCCTCCCTTGGCCTGTACCATCCATGGCTGTGCAAAGTGGGCAGTCACCTTCCTGCTCAACAGCCCACATTGCCGACCAGGTCACTGTATTGAGGGCTGGGCCTTGAGTTTGCTTTGAGACCTGTGGCTTTTAGGGACGAAAAGAGAGAGTGTCCCAAGCTGGGCTTCCTGGCTAAGCCTCAGGAATCATTTTCTCTCATTATACCTCCTTTCAATCTGGTCATCTCCCAGACTTCAAAGTCTACGTTAGCATGCTCTTGAGGTGATGTGTTTTTTGTTTGTTTGTTTGTTTGTTTKTTTTTCCAACAGGGTTTAGAGACCTGAAACATCAATAGCTTCTGGGTGGTTCTGAGGATTCAAGAGGTGGGTAGCTTCAATATAAGTCAAGTCATTGTTTCTGTCACCACATCTTCTGAAGTTGGATAAAATCCCAACAACAAGTGTCAGTTCAGATCAGATTTACAACAGGCAAGCACCTGTTCTTCAGGRCTGACTAGATGAAGACCCCTGTGATTACCGTTCTCCGGGAGGAGGGTCGTCTTGGTGGGGGCCCGATGTGCACTCTGACCCCTTGGCCCTGAAGCTCCAGGTGTGTGGACCTCAGCAGCGTAGGCTAGAGGTCTGGAGTCAGTGGAGGCTGATTTGGAAGCTCTGTGGTCCTGCCCCCCACCCCACCCTGCGAGCAGCAGATGCTACTGAGGAGCAGGCGGCAGGTTATGGCTCCGTCTGATGGCAGGGCCCTTAAAAAACCACAGAAACCAGAACAATGGGCAGAGAGGCCTCTGAAGGAGCTGAGAGTGGAGTGCTCACGCCTGGGTTTGTGCAGGAGGGGTTTGAGATCTGCCCCTCCTGGGGGGCTGATTAACTCAGGAGGCTTTGGGACCAGGTCGTGTTCCACAGCGTTACGGCTTTTAAGGCCAGTGTGAGTCCGGGGCAGACCGCTTGGTTTCACTCCTGCTGTTCCAAGGCATGCCGCTCCCAACAGGTGACCTCTGTCCCTGCTGGAAGGTGGGCTCAGGACGTCACCGCCCTCGCTGTTCCCAAGGGACTCCTGAAGTGGGTCTGACTTCCGCCGTGTGCTCTTGTGGTGGCTCCTGGTCCCCAGACACTTCCCTAACACTCCGTGACGCTCCCTATTCTGTCTCGAATGCTCACGGAGCTCTTGGTTTGTTCCAGGTGCATGTCTGAACACTGTACCGTAATTCACCCATCCACACACCGGCCCCGGGAAGGAATGCTCCCTGTTATCTTTATTTTACAGGTGGGAACGTTGAGGCACAGAGAGGTGAAGCAGCTTGCTCGCCAGGGAGCTACAGACTGGGGTTCAGGCCCAGGTGACGAGGTCAGTGTTCACGTCCCTGCGCTGTGCGGCGGCCATATCACCACATTACCTTACTCAGTCGTCAACTCGGTGGTTTTTGTCAATGAAGTCCGATTGGAACACAGCCACACTCAGTCCCTTATGGTACTGTGGCTGCCTTCTCAACAGAGGCACTGTTGAGGTGCTGCCTCGGAAATCCTGCACCCAGCAGAGCCGGAAGTGAGTGCTTTCTTCTTTTGGCCTCCTCTGCAGCCCTGTTGACATCTGGAATGCCTCTCCACTCTGTGGTTTCTCTCTCTGGCACTAGGGTACAAGTTATGAGAGCACTGGTCTCTCTTGTCCCGTTTAGCTTGGTCTGGGGGAAGTTGTCAATGTTTTTTTTTTCCCCTGAAGATTTGGTAACTTTATTCTGTAAAATAAACTGACCGTAGATAACAGGGAAGAGAACTTAGGTGCTAATCAGCACGGCATCTGAGCTCAAAGAGGGCTGAACCTCGTGTGGAGCTAACAGGGGTGCGGAGTTGGGCTTCTGGGGGGGGGATATGGAGCCCCAGGGCTGCGGGGGAGGCTGAGCAGCTATCGAGGGTGGCCTTGCTGTGCAGGTGGGGCCTCTCTGTGACGATCCCTGCAGGGGCCAGGCAGCAGACCCACACAAGCTCTAAGAGCGCTCCTAGACCCAAAGGGGAGTGGTGGGTTGGAAACCCGGGACCTGCCTCCACGTCTCCTGAGGAGGCTTGCACACTTCTCTTTACGACAGGACAGCTTCTCAGAGTCTGCAGAGGTCTGCAATTTCTCTGAATATCCAACCCTACGTATGTCAAAGAAATGTATTTGGGATGTGACATTCTCCTCTCCCTCTGTGCATAGCGAGCTCCTAACACGATGCCAGGCACAGGGCAGGWGTTCAGTGAGCATTTGGCAAATGAGCATCCCTCAGTGATGCAGCGAAGGGCGCTGTGATTATGCTCATTTAGCGCTGGACCTTTGCTTTGGCTCTTCAAGGACACTTCCTCATGGAGACCGGTTTGTTTTCCGCCTAGGTTTGGAGGCTGCTATGTTAATGCTGCTTGTCTTTGGAGCGTTACTGCATGAAGTCTCTCTGAGTGGTCAAGATGGGGCTGCCCCCGAGACCCACCAGGCGCCGGGTGAGCCCCTGTTCGACTACGCCAGCCTCCKCCTGCACCAGGAGCACATTCCCCGCTTCTTGCACAACAACAGGCACATCGCCGCCCTCTGCAAGAAGGACGCACACTGCCCATATAAGGTAGGCGTTAGGCGTCTCCCCTTCTGCAAGGATGCGGTTTGGGCTGGCTTCCTAATTCTGCTGTAACGGTGTGAAACCGAAGGTCGGATTCTGACTCTCGGACGAGCCAGTGACTGCGCCAGTTCATCCCACCACACTTCTGAGTGAACCGAACTTGTCTGAAAACCATGCCCACGCACAGGAGTGACCGTGGGTGTCTAAGCCGCTGCTAAAACGGCACCCAGTCCTGTCTGCACACTCTGTAAATGAAGCAAATCAGGTTTTAGGCAGAAAAGAACATTCGTCCCAAGTCAAGAATTCGCACCCCCTTCCTTTTTCAAGGGCCCTTAAGAGGTCCCTTGGTGCTTGATTTCAGTAATGGCTCCTCAGCCTCTCTCCCCAAGCAAGACTCTGAGGTTGGAAAGGCCTCAAATAGGGGCCCATTAAGACGTCTCAGAGGGCCTTGGAGATCAAAGCTGGGCCCCAGGAGACGCTTCCTTTCCCACATGCCGGTGCAGGAAGCACATGTAAAATCAGTTCCTGGAATCCAACCAGCGCTGCTCCTGGCGCCTTGCAGAGGAACCTGGCCCTGCAGCCCCTTCCGTGTCCCTCCAGGCCTCAAGGGTGTGACCTTGGGACCTTGGGGGTTTCTTCTGACCTTGATTGATGAGCCAAGTTCCTGCTCCATTCAAGTTAGCGGTGCTCCTTTTAGTAACAGAAATTCCAGTGTGCGTATCTGCTCAGTTTGCCCTCTGAGAAAGGCCCATCTCTGAAGCCAGAATTTAAAGACATTCTAATTCAAATGGGTCTTTGGTGGTCTAGCTAAAGAGCTTGGACGTCTGGTTAGGACAGACGCAGGCGTGATTAAGGCCGCCACTGAGAAGCGAGACTGCTCTTCTCGGAATTCACTCTGGGAACGTGAATCCTAGGGTAAAATACGACAGTTCTGTAAAGGTTCGTTTTGCGAATGGAAAAAAACCTGAGCATTCCCTCTAAGCGTCAGAAAGGAGGCCCATCTAAGTGTGCGTGTTTCTTGTCCGCAGGAGCACTTGGAAAACCTGAACTACTGCTGGGGTTACGAGAAGTCCTGCCAGCCAGAGTTCAGGTTTGGTTACCCCGTGTGCAGCCTGGGATGGTAAGTTCCCCCAGGGAATAGATACCCTGCTCCCTGTGAGACTCCTGCTCTCTGGGCCGGGCCTGCCAGTACCCCGCTTGCCTTAGATAGTCATTCTTTAGGTATTAATTTGCCAGTCCAGTCTTGTACTCAACTGACTGTCTTTATGCTGGGTGGGGATATCGGTCACTTCCTCTGCCAGATGGAGAGGGTAGTGCACGGCTCTGGACAGCACCTCCCCAGGGTAGGCAGAGGAGACAACGGAGAGTTTCCCCGGGATTCTGCAAGAAGCTTCCCGTTAGGGCGAGGTGGGCAGGGTGCTGTCTCTCCTCATGATCCCACGAGTCAGTGAATAGCTTCTGCTGGTAGCTTCACCTACAGAGGAATAGTTACTGGGAAATGATGATATATATGCAAAAAAAAAAAAATCAAAGTTAAGCAGATTTCTACAACTTGATGTTTAGACAGAAAACTCCAGCCCAGAAGGAGGTAAAGGGTAAAAGCAGCTTTTCTTTTGCAAACAGGATGGACAGCGTGGAGGCGGCCCAGGACTTGTTCTGGAAGCAGGCTGACTTCGGGTTTGCCAGGGAGCGGCTGGAGGAGGTGCGCGTGCTGTGCCGGCCCGAGAGCACGGTAGGCGTCTGGCTGTCTCATGCACCAGCGTGCTTCATGTTACTATTAGTTGTCAATGGCATTGATCAGGTTGTAATGTAAATAAAAAGAAGAGGTACCATCCAAGGAATCCCCTTCTCTTTATAGACTTGGAGTTCTATTAGCATCCCCAAAGGCGGGATTCTGTCTCCTTCAGAAACCCTGTTCTCCTTTCACATGTAGGTCAGATAGGTATATCTTGAGGCAGTTAAAATAGTTTTAGGTTCAGAATCTCCTCCCACCACATATGCTGAAGAAGAGAAACTGGTTGTGGTGTCTTTACAGATCCCTTCTGAGGCTGCGCTCTGAGGCACACCCTGTAATCCCAGCAATTTCGGAGGCTGAGGCAGGAGGATCACAAGTTCAAGGCCAGCCTCAGCAACTTAGTGAGACCCTATCTCAAAATAAAAAATAAATAAATAGAAGGGTTGGGGACATGGATCAGTGGTAAAGTGCCCCTGGGTTAGATCCCCAGTATCAAGGTCATCTGGGGCAGAGGATACTTCGAGTCCAGGCTTCTCTTTGCTGAGCACTGGACAGTCTGCAGCGAGCTCTCCGGAACGCTGTCCAGTTGTCTCACCAGTGCTGCAGCAGACGGGCAAAGCAGAGATACTGAGCTACTTTCCTGGAGCAGAAAACAGGGTCTTCAAAGCAGTTAAGCAACTCCTCTGAGCCCTCAAGCTATAGCCTTCCAGACTATGGAATTCAAGGCAGCTGCTTTTCCAGTGTGTTTCCCTCCATTCCACACCCCCGTGGGGAGGACAAACACGAGGTCAGGAGGTGGTGTTACGTGGTGAGAACAAAGTCAGCTCCCGATCACAGAGTTCAGGTCCTGACTTGGATGGACAAGGCACTCGGCCGTTGGAGTTTGTCTCCTCGGTCTTAAAGCCATGCCAGTTTTGTAGCTTGTAGGGAGGATGAAACGAGGCTCTGCTTATAAAATTGCTCAGTGCACGGCCTGGCTCCCCACAAAAGGCTTAGTGTTATTTTAAAGGTGGATGGTATTGTGACCGATTACTGTTGAAGTCCCCTATTCCCTAGAATCTAACAGTCCTGAATCCTGGCTTGGGGCTTCTGTCACCTCCAGGAGTCTGGCAAATGAGAAACATAAATTCACAAGCTGAATACATGCTCTCTAGTGTGTCCTTGACTAGAGCTGTTAGCAGTTATGCAGAGGGAGGGAGGCCTGGAGTTGGGAGGCTGGGCCCTCAGCTAGACTGCTGCAGGCACCTGCAACAGGCCTCTGGCTGACATCACAGTGGCTGGGGCTGGCAGTTGAGAAGGAGAAGGCCGGGGAGGAGCCCGGCCCACCCCGCACAGCTCTCAGGGCAGCCGTGGAATGCCGTCCATGTGCGTGTGCTGAGTCTGATCCCCGTCCTAGTTTGGGGCCACTGTGATACCATAGCTTGGTGGCCCACAGCTGCAGAGCTCCCTTCCTCCCAGTCCAGAGGCAGGGAGTCCAAGACAAAGAGGCTGGTGCCATCGGGTTCCCATCAGGGTCCTCTTCCAGCTGGCAGAGAGCTGCCCGTCTTTGTACCCTCCTCTGGTGCAAAGAGGGTGAGGTCCCTTTCAGAGGGGCACTAACCACACTCACCAGAGTCCCCACCTGCTAGTCCATCACGCCGAGTGTTGGGAGATGGGGTTTTACAGACAGGAACATGACACCAGTCCCCTGGAATCTTGGGCTCACTGCAGATTGCAGAACTCCTCGCAGGTCCTGATTAAGGCCCTGCTCTCATGACAAGTTTTAGGAGAAATAACACATCAGCGTTTGAATCTGCAAATAAAACCCAGAGCGGAACCATTGCAGAGTGCTCCCTCCTTCAGCACAGACCAGTGGCGGGGGCAGAAGCGGGCTGTGGCAGTTGACTCTGCAGCTCCTTCATTCAGCTTTTGGGAGGATAATCTCTGTCTTCTACTTAGAGTAGCCAATGTAAGGGATGTATAAAAACCCGCGTAAGGAACCTCAAGTTCCCGTGACCCAGATTGGCAGCATGAGGGACTCATGGCCAGTCCTGCTGCTGGTGAGGTGGACTCCGCGAACTGTGGGAGACTCTTATTAAAATCGTCATCACTGGGTGTCGTGTGTGTGTGTGTGTGTGTGTGTGTGTGTGTGTGTGTGTGTGTGTGTGTTTGCGTGTGTGCGCTTCTTGTTTGGTCTGGCTCGCTGGGAGAACGCTTTTTTCCATAGCTATGGACCACATCGGTTCCGAGCACTTCTTTTTGGGAACTGAACTGAACCGCGTGTACAGCTCAGCGGTGACATCTGAGGCCATGCAGAGACACTCTGCGGGTTCTGCACAGGAACTGCACCCCGGGAGCTAGCAGAGGTCCCTGCTGCCAGACTGGGAGGAGGGATCCTCAGACACGCAGCTCCGCACCCTTCCTCCCTGTGCCCTGTGGGTACACTTGCTGTCGACACATTCAGCCAGTTTGGCGAGTCCTCAAAATGGTCATGCTAAGTGCCAGGCACGGTGGCCACACCTGTCATCCCAGCTGGTGGGGAGACTGAGGTAGTAGGGTCGTAAGTTCGAGACCAGCCTTAGCAATGTAGCTAGCCTGTCTCAAAATAAGAAAATAGAAAAAAAAAAATAGAAAGGGTTGGGGATGGAAGAGTGAGCACCCAGGTACCAAAAAAAAAAAAAAAAAAAAATAGTCAGAGTTGTGTTTTTCTTTTCCTTGACCTTATTTCAGAGCGACTCCAGTCTGATGTGCTCTCGTTACCTTCAATACTGCAGAGCAACCAACCTCTACCTTGACTTCAGAAGCATCAAGAGAGATGAGGAAAGGTACGTAGAAGGTGCTCGTAGACGTTCTGAGAGGTCTGGGGTCGGGACTGTCTGGGACTTGCTTCACAGGGAAAGGGGCAGGCTGGGTGGCAGGTGAGGCAGGGATGCTCCACACGGGTCTTGATTGGATCACGGTGGGAATTAGGCCACAGGCACCTGGAGACCCTCATGGGATCCTACTACTTCTGCATGATTTTTTTTTTTCTTCCTTTCTGCGGTGCTAGAGCAGCCAAGCAAGTGTCTGCCACTGAGTGACACCCTCAGCCCGGCTTTTGCAGCTGTCTTAAATTTTCTATCATAAACTCAGTCACATCTCACCAAGTGGTGGGGATGCATTCTGAGAAACACGTATCTAGGCGGGTTGTGCAGATGCGGTAGAGCGTCCACACCGACAGGCAGCCAGGCTGCCACTGGTGTCTTAAGAGCCCCGTCATCGGTGTGGTTGCTCCTTGACGGGAATGTCATTGCACAAGCACGCGGCGTAGATTCTCATGGACAATTAATTTTGAAATTCGCAATTGCTTTTACTCACAACTCATGGGCTTGAGTCTTGAAAAAGTTTTCTAAACTCAGTTTTTTTTTTTCTTTACACTAGATTCAAGGAAGATTTTTTCCGGAAAGGTGAAATTGGAGGACACTGTGAACTTGACTCGCACTTGTTGTTGTCTGAAGGTCAACGCAAAAGTCCTCTGCAGTCTTGGTAACGTGATTTTTTTTTTTTTTTAAAAAACACTTGTCTCTAAAATGTTTGCTTTTACTTTGGAAACTTGCAGATTTCAAAAATATCACTTCATTTGTAGATAATTTCAAGTTGTGTTACTGAAATTTGCACAGGCCTGAGCTGCTGAGGAGTGACGGTTATAGAAGAATCCTTGGATGCATCTACATCAAATATGTATGCTTATAGAATAATAGAAACTAAAGGAAAAGTCACTTAGAAGTGAATTTTATTCACTCATCATTGCTGCATACATTTTGGGGAACACGTTTTCTTAAAAATGCACATGCTTTGGAATTTATCACTGCATGCACAAAGCGGGTACAGTGTGGTTTGAAAGAGTGCACTCACCTCGTGACCCTCCCTCCAGGCCCTTCCCCGGCCCCTGAAGAGTAAACGCTGCCCTGACTTCTACACTTCTTATTTTGAAGCACTTTCAGACTCATGGAAGTTTAAACATTAAGCAGGAAGCCCCCACTGGGCTGTCACCCCAGCTTCCTGTAGCAATGACATCTCAGGTGGCACAGCACAAGGGTCAGAGCCAGGAACCCGGCACTGCCTCAGGGCTACTCCCTGCACACACGTGGATTCACCAGGCTAAGCAAAGGTGTGCACTGTAAATGTGTGTCGCTGTCTAGGGACCTGTGGCCACCACAGTCAGGATGTGGGATGTTCCTCATTTGGACAACCCGGGGCTCCACCTCAGGGCCACGGAGGCTGCTCTAACTGACAGTCAGCTTTTGTGGCAGAGCATTCATGCTGGCACACCCCGGATCATAATGGGGGGCCTGTGCGGTGTTTTGCAGTTTGCAGCCGAGTTTCTCCTGTGACTTAGCAGGTTTGTGCAGTAGGTGGCTCCCAGGTTCCGTTCCTGGCACATTTTGGCGTCTGACTTCATGTCGAGGTGCCCCGGGTGTCACTGGGTTAGCATCTCTTGCTCTGTAGCACATCCTTCCCAAACCTCCCGAGGGCGTATTTGTCTATGCTGTCTATGGCTTTATAACAAATGACCCCCCAACCCAGCAACTTACCCCAGTGAACACTTCCTGCTGAGATGATAGCGCTGCTGCTGAGAGCAGGACTGGGAGCAGCTTGGGGTGTCCCACGAGGTCAAGCTGTTGGCCAGGGCTGTAGCCATCTGGCACTCAGCCGGCCTCCACAGTCCGCTGCTGAACTCTCTCGGGTTGCAGCAAGCCTCAGCTGCTCTCTGGCTCTTGGCCAGAAGATTCAGTCTTCACCCTGTGGGTCTGTCCCAGAGACAGAGACCCACTCTGTGGGTCTGCTCCCCACAGAGCACCAGCGGCTTCCTAGGTCCCAGAGGGGCTTCGTGCCCCAGGATGGAAGCCACAGTGTTGGTCTACCTGGATCTCAGAAGGAGGAGCTCTTGCTTCTGCTGTGTCCTGGGTGAGCCCCTGAGCCACCCCACTCTCCAGGTGGGGGGTAACCTCCACCCCTTCAGGGGGCGAGGCTGGAGTGGAGTCCTGCTTTTTTTTCTGCACTGTATTTTTAAAGGACCTGTTTGCTGTTTGTTTTGCGTGAGACGTGATCTCAAGGGCCAGGAGGACCCAAGGCTCTTCCCGTTCACGGTGAACGTCTCCTGCCTCCCGCCTGGGACTGTCTCTTGTTTGCCATCAGGAAATGTCTTCTGAGAAACAGACTTTCCATGTTTCAGGGGAGCTGAGCTGTGTCTGCGGTCTTTCTGGGTGCTCGGTAATTTGGGGAATCTGATCTCTGTCAGCATTCTAGAAGCCTCCTCTAGGAGTTTCTCTGCCCGTTCTTCTCTTTGTGCCTCCTCAGCTACTGCAAATCCTGCTGATCTTCCAACTGCACTGGTAGATTATTTAGAGCCAGCTTGATGTCCATTCTTTGGTGTTAGGTTCCCGGTTTAACTTCCTCGTACATGAAACTGAATTTTAAAATCATCGGATTCCTGTTTCAGCGTTGAAGCTGGTGTTGGTTATATGAATGTCTTCCTGGGTACTAGGTGATTTTTTTGAATCTGATCTTTTTTAATAGGTTTGAAAAGCCGCTTGTTGCCATAAGAAGGCTTCTAAACACTAGAAACAGGAGCTACCCAGGGAACAGATCCTAAGTTAAAATGTTGCAATAGGGAGTTTGGAAGAATCCTTTAGAAATTATATCCCCATTCCTAATTCCAGGTTTGCTGAGCTACGAACCTATACTCAGCTCAACTTCAGACCCATAGAAGATGGTGAATGTGACATTGTCATTGAAAAACCCACGTATTTCATGAAATTAGATGCAGGTAAGAAGTTAAATTTTTCTGTAACTTAAATAATGACGAATGCAGCCTTAATCTGTTTTTCATATAGGTATGTCGTCATTTTCTGTGAATTTTAAAAAAGCAATATGACTAATGGTGGATTCGCTTTTTGCTTCTTACTCTGAAGTCAATGAACTCGTTTGACTTTCCTGTTACTTTACACTTTTGGTGTTCTAGAAGAAACCCTCACATTTATACCAAGTGACTCATTCAAAAATCGCAAGAAGTAGGTGTACTTTCACYCTGTAACTAAATTTACCCCATCTGGATTCTCAATCTCCTGACTTAGATTGTGGGGTTTTTTTTGGTTATTGTTGCTGGTGGGTTTTTTGGTTTGTTTTTTGTTTTGGGGAMTGGGGATTGAACCCAGAGGTACTTAATCACTCAGCCACATTCCCAGTCCCTTATATTTTTTATTTTGAGACAGGGGGCTTCTAAATTGCATAGGGCCTCGCTACATTGTTGAAGCTGGCTTTGAACTTGSGATCTTACTGCCTCAGCCTCCCAAGTTGTTGGGATTACAGGCGTGTGCCACCATTCCCAGCTGGATTATGTTTTATGACCATTTTTTAAAAAATATAGAGGCCAAGGATGTACCGTAAGTCAAGGAGAAATGTCCATATCCCCCCACCCCGTCCAACTTTCTAATATCRTTTCCATGACTAGAGTGACTTTAAAATTCTTTTAGAAGTCACCACTGCAGTGTATTTTGGGGGCAGAGGGAACACTAGCATTCTTTTCCCATTTATGTCTGCTGGCCTGCGCCTCAGCTGGCACGYGTAACTTTGACCCAGTGAACTGGTTGCCCTGGAGAGGAGAGACACAGGCCCTGGTRCTGTCTCTGTCCTCCACACTGGGTCGTGTGGACTCTCACGAGAGGCAGGGCACACGGTGAGGCGTGGAGAGCCCGTCTGTGAGTTTTCCTGTCTCTGCCTGCACACGTCGTGATTCTTATGTTACAAAGCCTTAGACTCTGCCATCGGGCAAGTTTGCATTTTTTGAAATAAGAGCAAGTAAATATGCGACGTTCGAAGTTCTGGCTCAGTGAAACGGGGCCAAGACACACCTGGCCTGCCTGGGGAGGAGGGGCGTGTGAGCTGCAGGATTGTGGGGCTCTGTGCAGAGGTGGGAGCTGGGAGGGACAGGCTGAGCAGGCACGTGCCTCTGCTGTCCTCACTGCAGCCTCACACTCTGCCCTCTTCCCTGTCCCCTCCACTCTGAGCCGGGGAGGATGAGCACTGGGTAGCAGGTAAGGCCCTGGGCACACTTCCCCAGGGTACAGCCTGAGTCTGCCCTTGTCCACACGTCCTCCTTGTATTGAGCACTGTCCCTGCATGCTCCGTCCCTCCATCAATGTCCAGAACTCCCTAAGTGTCACCCGGGGGAGGGGCACGCATTCTTCCAGAACTTTATTTTTCTTGTTAATTTGAAAATATGCCCTTTGCCAAAATTTTTCTGGGTAAAAAAAAAAAAAAAAAAAAATGAGCCTTTCCAAACATCCTCCAAGATGCTAGGTTGCAAAGAACTGAGTAGTTTTTGCTCTTATTTTCTGGCACACAATGTTGTCATTCACTGCGGAAATGAACTCAGAAAGTTGTCCGGCTTCTGCTCCTGAGACTCCCTGTTTTTCTTTCACCCGACTTTTTCCTTCCTTGAACCTGCGTGTCTTCGATGCCCCTCCTTGGGACGTCGCCCCCTGTTGATTGGCAGGATTCAGGTTCAGTGCTGGGTGCTGCACACCCACATCACGAGCAGAGATCTTTAATGACTGGCATGAGAACTCGYAGGTAGTGGCAGCTGCAGCCCCTCCACTGTGCCCCAGTGGGCCCTGGCTGGCTGAGGGTCTCACTCTGTGCCAGACATGGGGATGGACACTTGGAGGTGCCTCCTCTTTGGATTCTTGGGGCAAAGCGGGAGCTCAGGCTTAGCTGTCCCTGTTTCCCCCTGTAAGCCCCGAGTGGACTGCCCAGCACTGTGCACCTTCAGCTGGAGCATCCGGGTCACCTCTTCTCAGCAGGAGCTGGCTCCTGTTTTCCCAGCAATAGTGTGGGCAGTAATCAAGCAGGGCAGAAGGGACAGGAACGGAACCTACCACAATGCCAGTTGTCCCCCTCACCACCTGTACAGCTGTGAATGGGTGCTGCTGAACTGATGTTTTAAAGAAGTGATCAGAAAGAATAAGGGTTAGTCTTTGTGTTCCTGGTTCCTGACCTGTTTGATTCCCCCTCTTATATCAACTCAAAGTCCATCCCAGGGTTGGGGACGGGGTGGAGGTGGCTTCATGCTGGTGCTGGAGGGCTGGTTGAGGTGGATGTCTTTCCGTACACCAGGTATCAACATGTACCACCACTTCTGCGACTTCGTCAATCTCTACATCACCCAGCACGTGAACAACTCCTTCAGCACGGACGTGTACATCGTGATGTGGGACACTGTAAGTACCCGGGTGTGCTCCTCCTTCACCCTGCCGCCCAGGGTGWGACCCGAGGCAGAACTTCCCCACACAGACGTAACTCTGTCCCCACGTACATGTGCAGCACATGTACAGAGTCAAGCAGGTTGGGCATGCTTGACAGTGATGATGGCATCTGCAGGGGAGGCTGCCCAAAGTGGGGAGTCGGAACACCGTGGGGGGTCCTCTGTGGTTCAGCTGAGCATCCTGACTCCTGCCCTAGATGCCCCCAGGATGATGTTGCAGGCGGGTGGCGGCCTGCTGGCTGGCAGGGCAACACTTGGCACCTCTCGGGAGGAGTCTCAGCAGCCCACACAGCACGGCCCAGGTGCACGGAGGCCAGGTCCACCAGGGACAGGTACCACTGCCACGGCTGAGGAGCCTCGAGTCCCAGGGGCCAATACCACCAGGAACAGCTGCATTGGCAAGGCCTCCAGATCCCTGCAGGACCATGCCCAGTGCCAAGGGTCACAGTGCCAGGGAGGCCTAAGCCTGGCTCCCCAGCCCAGTGCAGCTCCCTGCCGAGCGTCTTTTTAAATCAGGAGAACGGTTGTCTAGAAACCTCACTGACACGGGCCATCGTCATTTCCAGAGGGCACTGGACACGTAGTTCCCTGCAGACAAGGAAGAGCCCGGGTCACAGGGCTCCTCTGTGGCTGTGGGGAGGTTGTGGCCATGGCCCCCAGATCTTTGCTGGACTCCGTGGGAACAGGCACCGTGCCCCGGGGCCTGCGCTCCCCTTTCCTGCTCCCCTACATACGCACTCTCCGTGTCCAGCGTTGCTGCCCCCCCCCATTTCCTGGAAAGGTCTCTGAGCACAGAGGAAGTCGGTCCCTTCCTGTCTTCTGCCAGGACATCCGTCAGAGGGCCTGCGTGGCTCGGCAGGCGGTTTGGCCYTTTACAACAGGACGCCTGCCCTCGCGTCCCCACGTGCCCTCCTCCCCTGTGGACGAGGGACTCTGCTTGCGCCTGTGGGGATGCGGGTTTTCACTGCGGTTTCTAGAGGAAGGGAGGCCCGGCAGGCAGGGAGTGCTGGAAGGTGCACGGCCAGYGAGTGGCCAGGGTTCCGCTGTGGCTTGCAACCCTGGGTGCCTCRTCGCCTTCCTGTGCAGTGTGCAAGGACCCACGAGTCCACAGCAAGCTTCCCCCGCACTTTCCAGAGGCTTCCGTTGCGTTGCGTCTTTGGTGTCTCCCTGGGTGGCCTCGGGCAAGCTGAGCCAGCCTCTGCACCTGGCCTTCTGTGTGCCCACTGGGGTGGGACGAGGCACGTGGCCAGGTGAAGATCACAGCCACCTGGTCTCCTGGACACATGAGGTCGGGGCAGTCTGGCCCTGACTGGTGTGGACGGGCAGGGCAGGTGGASCCCTGGGCTGGGTGGCTGTCCTGCTGTCACCTGCCTTCTCCACTGCCCTGGGCATCCGTCACKATCTGTGCTGTCGGTCAAGGGCCCTTACTCATGGCTTGGGGTGTCCACACGGGCAGTCGCTGGTCACTCCAGAGTCCAGGCTGCGGGAGCTTCAGGGCGGGTGTGGGGAGCAGTGGGTCTTGTGGGTGCTGAGCTCCTCTGTGCTGGCCGAGCCTTAGGGAAGCCGTGCATGACCCGCAGGCTGTGACCTGCATCCTCCAGGTGGACGGTATCACCAGAGTCAGGCTGAGGGCCTCAGGGGCGTCCTCTGCCGTGGACAGGGAGGTGGCTGTAGCTGCCGGTCGGACCTTGGTGACACTTTACATGCCGCCACCAGGTGGCCCATGGGGCCTTCTGGCTCCTGCTTGTCCAGTCCAGCAGTTTGGACGCTCCCTTCAGGCACACACAGAGGCACTGTCCCCCAGACACCTCTCTGGGGACACAGACGGGAGGGGCTGGCCTCTCACTGACTAGGAGTTTTGTTATTTCTCTGCAACTGAGAAAGGCACACCTGATCATAGCACCACAGAGGGGTGTGGGTCTCCAAAGTCTCCCTCTCCATTTCCATGGTCCCCCAGGGGACGGCAGTTGGGCTRGGGGGAGTCCCTTGCAGGACTCTGTCTTATCCAATCCATGGGGAGAAGTTGAGTGGTGACGCGTGACGCACGACTGGATCACTCAGGGTCACTGCAGGTGAACTGGGCTGGCTGCTAAGTGACCACACAGAGACAGGACAGACTTCTTGGGGTTCAGTGACRGCTCCTCGACCCCAGCTCCCACAGAGGAGGCAAGAGAGGCAGCAAAGGAGAGAGCTCGCCCGAAACCCTCCTGTTTATTAGGGGGAAGACATTTGAGAAAGTTCTACCCAAATAGGCAAGGGGTTATGTATCAGGGGGTGGCATGGTGATGTCTTGGGGTCAGCAGATCRACTGACGTCTTAGGAGATCACACCCATGTCAGGTCCTGTGTGGGATCATAGGCAGAGCCAGAGACAAGGACACACAGGTCACACAGCCCAATCAGAGCAGCCAAGTCAGTCCCGTCCCCTCGTGTGCTCAGATGTGCACAGTTCACACACACAGCCCAGGCTGGCTCGCGACAGTGATGTGYCTTGTGTGTGCGTGTTTTTTTTTAACACCAAAAAACCAACAACCCAATTCAATAAATGGGCAAATGAACTAAACAGGCACCTCCCAARAGAAAAAACAAAATGAGCAACAAACATGTAAGAAAATCTTCAGCATCCCTAGGAATCCGGGAAATACAAATCAAAATTACACCGTGACTCTGTCTCACTCCAGCCAGAAAGGCATCCATCAAGAATACAGACCACAATGAATCCTGGAGAGGATACGGGTCAAAAGAACCCCCCCACTGTTGGTGGAACTATAAACTAGCCAACCACCATGGAAATTGGTGGCTCCTTAAAAGGTGGCCTCCTTAAAATCTGGAGGCTCCTTAAAAGACTAGTTGTGAGCCACCCCATGACCCAGCCATAGCACTCCTCGGTATTATCCCAAAGAATTAGCTGGGCATGGCGCACGCCTGTAATCCCAGCAGCTCAGGAGGCTGAGGCAGGAGGATCTTGAATTCAGAGCCAGCTTCAGCAATGGCAAGGTGCTAAGCAACTCAGTGAGACGCTGACTCTAAATAAAATACAAAATAGGGCAGAAGCTGGGGCTCAGTGGGTGAGTGCMCCTGAGTTCAATCCCTGGTGACCACCCTCCCCCCCAAAAAAGAACCAAAGTCATCCTACTACAGAGATCCACGCAGACCCATGTCTATAGCAGCACAATTCACAGTAGCCAAACCATGGCACCAGCCCAGGTGTCCATCAACGGATGCATGAACAAAGGAAATGGGGTCTAGACACACAATGCAGTTCCACCCAGACCTAATGAAGAATGAAATCCTGCCAAGTAATCCTGAAAAGTAAGGGGAGACCAGTGTGTGCCATACTTGGGTTTAACATTGATGTGATTTCTGTTTTAGTCGGGTTCATCACTGCTGTGACCAAAAGACCTGACAAGAACAATGTYAGAGGAGGGAAAGTTTATTTGGGGCATTGTATTTTTGACTTTAGGGTTTTGGAAACCTTTCTCGCTAGGACGTGTCTGTAAAGCATGATGCCGCTCTGACAGTCTTTGCTCAGGGAGCGGGTGAGCATGCATACAGATGGTGCCATATCTGTGCTGAGTGCAACTGTGGCGCACGGAGACATGGCACAGAACACCCCACGGCAGCTGTGGTTTTGGAGACGTGCGAATGCAGGCTGGSGGTGAGCAGAGCTGTTGGCAGCTGCCATGCAGCTGGGAGGACGTCTGTCCTTCCCGTCCAGCGTGGCTCGGCCCCTGTGCAGCTCTGCTTGTCCTGCGTGTGTGCGGCTTGTCTGGGATCCCAGCGTGACTCTGTACCAACGGGCAAAGTCGGGTTTTGCAGCCATCTTGAAAAGCCGGCCGTGCCCTTCCCTGACCCCCCCTGTCCTGTTCCTCTCCCAGAGCTCCTCTGGATACAGGGACCTGTTCTCCGAGACCTGGAAGGCCTTCACGGACTATGACGTCATACACTTGAAGACCTAYGACTCCAAAAGGGTACGGGAACTTCTCTGTGAATAGCTGCAGCCTGCAGAGACGTAATGGGAGTCTCTGTGAGCGCTCACCGTTGGCTTCTCGTGTCTCTGTGTCTTTTGTTGTAACTAGAGTTCTTGTTTCACTGACCATATACTTGTGCAAGCCTTTTTTTTTTTTTTTGTAACTTTAAAAAAAATGTGAATTGTATTCTCTTGGAAATAGTATTCTACTGCAAAACAGAGATGAGCTTTCCAAGATGACAGTGCTCTCTGTTCTCTTGCCTTTTAACGGGTCTTCCTTCTCAGGTGTGCTTCAGGGACGCMGTGTTCTCGCTGCTGCCCCGCATGCAGTACGGGCTCTTCTACAACACCCCGCTGGTGAGTGCTGCGGGCGGCAGGTGCGCAGCCCAGAGCCCCTGGGCCCGCGGAGGAGGTGCTCATGCCGTGCCTCCTGTGCTCCCCCTAGATCTCCGGCTGCCAGCACACGGGGCTGTTCAGGGCCTTCTCCCAGCACCTGCTCCACAGACTGCACATCAGGCAAGAGGGCCCCCAGGTAAGGGTGCATTCCCTGTGGGTCCTGGGGGACGCCTGACCTTTCCGACCCAGTGAAAAGCAACATGGCCTTGGCGGGGGGAAGAAGGACCAGGAGACAGCGTGGCCTGGGCTGGGATTTCAGACGGGGCCGTCTGATTGTGGGCGTCAGCAAACATCCACAAAGAGCTGCCCCCTGCACACCTCCTCCCCTGCTCTGTCCCCTCCTGTGGCCACATCTCCCACCTTCTCCCAGATCCCCTACACACACACACACACACACACACACACACACACACACTCATGACCCCAGCCGGAAGCCCACCCTGCCGACCCAGAGCCCATCCGCAGGGTCGGGAACAGGTCGGTCTTGGCGGCTGAGGCAGAGGTGTCTGTGGTCACTTTGAACTGACACAGCGCGATGGTGCGTATTTGCGGGGCACGTTGTGATATTTGGATACATGAYGCTAAGTGTGATGCTTAAGGGAGAGAATGGGGCACGCCCTCCGTCTCTCACAGGCGCTCTGTCCTGGAGCGTCTGGTCCTGTCTCCCAGCACGTAGTGATGGCCTCTTGTCAAGCCTGGTCACTGCATTGCTGCAGAGTGCTGGAGCTTAGTCCTCCTCTTAGCTCAATTTAGTACCTGCTAACCCACCCTTCTCGTCCTGCCTGCCCTCCCCACTTCCCCGCCTCCGGTGTCCCCTGTTCTATCCCTGTTTCTGGAGATCAGCCTCTCGGCACATACAGGACCTTCTCTGGGCCTCGCTGTGCACATTTCTTCCATTTTCATCCAYCGTGTCCCCCGTRGCAGGGTGGCGTTCCTTCTTGGGGYTGAGTCACATTCCACTGTGTAGACATGCCGCTTGTGGTCCCCGAGAGCCAGGTGGAGAGTCCGGCCAAACATGCACCGTCCCGGGGGCGTCCTGGTCGGGTTTCTCCTGTGGAAACCGCATCTGAGGTCCGGGTGTCCACCGTCCATCCAGACACGTGTGCCATTGTTTCCATTCTCGTTTTGATTACAGGACGGAAAACTTCGAGTCACCATTCTCTCCCGGAGCACAGGGTATCGCAAAATACTGAACCAAGACGAGGTTAGTTTTCCACGTGCTCGTTTCATATCCTGCCACGGAATTCACCGCCTGACCAGTGGCYGGCGTGTTTCCACATCGCTTGAGAATCTTCAGTTTGAAACTCTGCTGCCAGGGTTTTGGACATCTTGAATGCCTGTCCAGGTTGAGTTGCTGGACTTGACTGGTGGGTGGAAATCCCCACACCACCCTCTGCCCGGGCCAGCTTGCCGCGCTGCGAGTGTCCCTGAGCCCTGGCTGAGCCAGGAGGGCGGCAGAACTGGAGTCCYGCTGCCACACCACGGCCGCAGTGGCAGCTCTCGCCCTCCAGGAGAGCCAGGGGCAGTTTGCAGGGCGTCTCTGGGAGATGGTTGATGGCGTGTGGCAATGCCGTGGTCCTGGCAGCAGATACAGGTGCAGAGCCTCTGTCCACTTCTGGGACAGTYTTAGGAATTGCTCGCCTCTTGGCATCCCAGTCCCTTTCCACAGCTCAGGTCCCGAAACTGTCTTTTTCCTCAGTGAGGTGACCRTGTCAGGCCTATGGAGCTGCAGGCCCCAAGGGTAGCCAAGTGTAGCCCCCAGAGTGCAGCGTGGGCCACGGAAGCCTGTGGAGGGCTGGAGGCAGCTCAGGGCAGGCCTGGGTTCCGTCCCAGCACACACAGGAAACCCGCTGAGCAGCTGCTGTGAGCCAGGCTTTGAGAATATAGGGAGGGTCCCTGCCCCGTGGAGCTGGAGAGACAGATGAGGAGCAGGCAGGTCAGCCCGTGGGGGGACCTCAGGAGCAGAAGTGTGTGTAGGAAGCTCTCCAGGTGCTGGGTGGAGACCGGGAGGTGTGAAGGGAAACGTGGAGAGGGGCCACCCGTGAGGATCCTTCATCAGAGTGGAGTCCGGCCAGGGAAAGCCTCCAGGCAGAGGTGGGGTGCTGCGGTGGAACAGGCTCCTGTTGTTCTGGAAACGGGGACAACCTAACATGGCTGCAGCCTCTCCAGGGAGCTGGGGATGTCAGAGGAGCTCAGAGGAGCGGGGCGTGGTGCGGCCTGTGGACCAAGGTCAGGACCTGGACTTTGTTCCAGTGTGAGTTGAGAAGCCCTGAGCAGGGTGTGGTGGGCAGGATCACTTCCCCTGTCCCTCCGCCTTGTCCCCGGCCCTGGGTCCTATGAATAGGGCTGGTGACATGGTGAGGGCAGTTGCAGCAGCAGGTGGACTCAGTGTCCCTGTGCTGCCTTAGAATAGGAAGGCCACCTGGATCTCTCACTGGGCAGCTCTCCCAGATGGCCGGGAACTCTGTCCACCGTCCACCACAACCTCTGCCCCWGCCCGGGGAGCTCTTCCCTTGGCTGGGTTCACATCTCAGCTTATCTGTCCTTGCAGGGGAAGAGGAGGGAGAAGGCGAGGGAGGGGAGGAGGATTAGGGAGGCTCAGGGTGCTGGCTGTGAAGGTGGGGGAAGGGCCTAAGCCTCAGCCGTGGAAGGTTCCAGGCACTGGGGAGGGGAGTCTCCCATAGGCACGCAGCCCCGCCAGCACCCTGCCTTAGCCCTGCAACACCCTTGTTGGGTGCGGAAGGATGCACTGTGCTGTTTAAGCTGCTGGATTCCTAGTGACTTGTTGCAGCCCTGTGTTGAAGACAAACACACCCMAGAGACTCGGTGGCTTATGTACCCGCCAGTCACTCTGGCTGCCGGTCACTCTGGATGGCAGCCGCAGCCCGGGGAGGGAGGGTGAAGCAGATGAGGATGGTGGGCCGCGGGGTGAGTTCCAGTGCCAGGCCCAGGGTGCTGGAGAGGTGTGGAGAACCGAGTGTGCCCCCAGGCTCYCAGCTTGAGCGGGTGAGTGGGACTGAAGCAGAAGAGATTTGGGAAGACTGGGGGGGCGCAGACTTTGATGGACGAAGTATTGACACGGGTCAATCTGATGTGAGCATTATGTTCCTGGGGGTCCAGGAGGACCAGGTGTGTGAGGGGCTGCGGTTCTCGGTCACTGCCTGTGGCTTTCCRTAGCAGCAGAGTAGTGTGCACTGGGTAAGAGCACGGGTTCTGGGGGCAGAAGTCCCAGACTTGAGTTTGGCCCTGCGATTGCCAGCCGGGAGAGCCTGAGGAAGTTAACGCTCATTTATAAATGGGCTTCGTCTTCATGATATTTACTGATTTTTTCTTTCCTTTTTTTTTTTTTTTTTTTTGGTGCTGGGAATTGAAGGGGTTCTTTACTACTGAGCTATATCCCCACTTAGTTACTATATCCCTCACTTAGTTACTTAGCCTGACCTTGAACTTGGGATCCTCCTGTCTCAGCCTCTCAAATTGCTGGGATTACAGGCATGCACCCCCGTGCTGTGCTAGGCTTTGGTGTGATATTTTTATGATAATTAAGTAAAATGACTTAAAGTACTTACAAATGCCTGCATAGCTGCGTGGGGTGGCACATGCCTATGATCCCAGTGATTTAGGAGGCTGAGGCAGGAGGATCGTGATTTCAAGGCCAATCTCAGCAACTTGGGGAAACCCTGTCTCAAAATTTTAATAAAGGGGTGGGGATGTAAAAGAGTGGTAAAGTACCCCTGGGTTCAATCCCCAGCACCACAAAAAACAAACCAAAGACAAATGCCTGCCCATCAATGCGTTTTTGAAAGATTAGTTTACGGTACTAGTGGTTCTGGGTGCTGAACCCTGGGCCTCCTGCCTGCTGGGCAAGCTCTCCCCACGGAGCTAAGCCAGCCATCTGGCACCCTGTAAACCCTGACACTGCTGTGGAGTGTCACTCGTGCCCCAAGGCCATGTGACACAGGGCAGAAATCATGGACGGCGGGACCCACAGCGTTGGGTCACTGTGGCTGCTGGGACCCAGAGAACCCTGGCCACGTTTTGGATACACGTCAATCATGCTTCCACACTTTTTCCACCAAAACATCAGTATTTCCAGAGCCTGGGCTCCAGGGTGTCACTGATGATTGGTTCTGAAATGAGACGGTGGGAAGAAAACCAGCAGAATGACTGGGACATTCTAGGTGGCGGCTAATAYTGTAGCGGTGGGCAGTGGCATGTGGCACTTGCCCATGCTGAGCACCTGTGCCCCGGGCGRACTCCTTTCAGCCTCAGACAAAGCTCTACAAAGCTGGGTTTGGGGGCGGGCATGTTCAGAGGGTGGAGTCAGGATTAGAGCTCAGGTGAGTTCCGAACAGTGGCCCCGAAAGATACTTCTCACCTGAACGTTGCCATGTGCAAAAGCAAGAAGCTTCAAAACCAATGGAGGAAAGTTAGAAGGGAAGGAGGGAGAAAAGTCCCCACCGTTTCCCATTTTTCCAGCTCGCCAATAAGCTGAGGACGGTGCCTATGTTTGAAGTCCGGGTTGTGGATTACAAGTACGGGTAAGTGACAGCCCCAGGTGGCACACGCTGTCCCCGGCTGTGGTGATGGAGAGCCCTCTTCCAGGGGAGCCGTTAGCGCTTAGAGGCCTGGACGGGATGTCAGACCCCAGCGTGAACACAGGCACGGAGGTGTGGCGAGGGCCAGGGCACAGGGCATCTCTGTGCGGCCTCCTGGGCTTGCGTTGTGACTCCACGGTGTTATCCAGGAGAAGCGCAGACCCAGGTTTTCATTTGGCATTTCTCACTTAGAGCTTCATGGTTAGGTAGCTGGGTCCCTCCCCATTACATAATTTTGAAGGAAATGAAAATACTGATCTTRGGGCTGATGTTTGGCTCAAAATTTTGAGACAGGGTCTCCCTAAGTTGCTGAGGCTGGCCTTGAAATCACGGCTTTGGGCTGATGTCTGGCTCAGAGTTTGCACATCTGTCGGTGTTCAAAGCACCCACCTGCGGCAAAGGCAGGAAGGTACTCTGGTGGAATCCGAGGGCATTTCCGTGTGTCCAGATGGCACCCAGGAACTCGCATCACACAGGGGAAATTCATTTTCATTTTTAGAGAGCCCTCTTCTTACCCTGAGGTAGTTTCAGTTTGCTGCTGCCATGTGATGGCGTYTCTAGCCCTTCTAATTTCTTTTTCATGATAGCAGGAGCAGGCTCAGGCTCACAGCCTCGCCCTGCAATACCATCTACCTGGGTGTGAAGGATGCTTTTTTGATTATATCCATTTATATAATTTTGTTGATGTCATGCATCACTGTTTTTTTTGCATAAGGTAGCTATCAAGGTTCTTTTTAGAAATGAAAGTCCAAAAAGACCAGTGAGGGGTGGGGTTGTRGCTCCATGGTAGAGCACTTGCCTAGCATGCAGGAGGCACTGGGTTCGACCCCCCAGCACCACAGAAAAGTAAATAAATAAAGGAATYGCGCCCATCTACAGCTAAAAACATATTAAAAAATAAAAAGACAGCTTATAATTGTTGAATTATTAGGAAACTAAGTTGTTGATTACTAGAGTATGCTTGAAATTGGCAAAAAGAAAAAAAGAAAAAGAAAAAGTGAGGGGGTGGAGTGTGACTTCAGTCAGGAAAGGCACGTGTACACACGTCCCCAGGAGTCACGCGCCAGCCCAGGGCTCCTCCCTGCTCCTCACCCTCTTGTGTTCTGCACGTTACAGAAAGTTCGCGTTCTTGGATCAACTGAGGTTCACGCACAACACCGACATATTTATCGGGATGCACGGAGCGGGTCTCACCCACCTGCTGTTCCTCCCCGACTGGGCTGTGGTGTTTGAACTGTGAGTGTTGGGGCTTCTGGGGGGTGGCTAGTGCTGACTGTCACTCTGAGAGTTACAGGGTCTTCCCAGGCACCTGGTGCCTTGCGGGAGTCTGGGAGGTCCTCGGCAGCCTGGCGGTGTGCCTCTGAGCAGCTCACCTGCTCACCCCGGCTCGCTCCCCAGGGTGACCCCAGTTTCCTTCCTGCCTGCCTCTCCCACCGCGAGCATCTCCAACAGTCAGTGCAATGACTGTGTTGAGAGAACCTGAAGCTGAGGATGTACGGCTTTAGTTGGTCGAGCGCAGACTCAGCCTGTGCGGGGCCTGGGTTGCATCCACAGAACTGGAAAGCTTTTACAAAAGAGGGAATCTGTATGTCTCCTGCACGACCCAACCCTCGCCTGCCGCTTCCCCTAGTGCTTGCTGGCTACCTGCTCAGGAAGTCCAGGCCACGGAGAAAATGCTTGTCAGGGCGTGCCTGTACCTCGGTGGTCACCTTGGGACGTGGTCTTCCCTCCCGCAATGTGGTCAGCACCATGTCCCATCTTTGCTTCTGAACACTCTGACAGCAATCCCTGTTATTTTATTTCTCCCCCTCGTATCTGCATAGCTTGGTGGAATGGCTTCATTTTTAAAAGGAAGTGACTCGGTATTTAAACAGGAGGCTCTTACTTAAGAAGCCTTGTCATAAACTTCCAGCGCTCTGCGAGACGTTTTAAATGGTGTGTGTTGGAGAGGTCTCCAGATGGTTGTGAGTTCGATAGCAATGCATTTCTCCTAGTGGGGGCAGCAGGATGGAAGATGGGAGGAAGGAGAGGAACGTCACCAAGGAAAGGTGGACGTTGSCATCCTGAGCCTGGCATCAGGCTCCGCTTCCTGCCTGGGCTAGCTGGCTGCCTGACCTGGGGGCTTCCACCTGTGCAAAGACGTAACCTGTTTCAAGACAGTGTCAAGTTCACAGGCAGTGGGTCCCACTGAATAAGGCCAGTCCCCTCCGCCCCTTGATCTTACTCTGCTTTGTAAAGGTTAAGGCAAGCTTCTGAGAATTTATTTGTTGAGTTCGTTGTTTTGTTGTTTGTGCTGGACATCAAACCCCAGGCCTGGTGCATACTAAGCAAGCACTCCACCACTGAAGTACAGCCCCAACTCTGAGAATTTTAAAAATATCATCTTTTTCATTGTTGCTAACTGTTTACAAAAGCTTTTGCAAGAGCGTATTTGGGTGCTACGTGTCTTTTCCACATAGAAATTGTGGACCGGACAAAAAACCCTGGGCAAAGCCTGGTGTTGTGACACCCTTGTGTCCCCAGATATAACTGTGAAGATGAACGCTGTTACTTAGACCTGGCCCGGCTGAGAGGCATCCACTACATCACTTGGCAAAAGATGGACAAAATCTTTCGTCCGGAGAAGGTAAGATCCATCATTTTATTTTATTATTATTTTTTAAATGAATTTATTCATTGTAATTAGGTATATATGACATCAGAATGCATTTGGATTAATTCTACACAGTTGCACCATGACATTTCCTTTGTCTGGTTGTACATGATGTAGCGTCACACCATATGTGCAGTCATCCATGTACCTAGGGTAGTGATGTCCATCTCATTCCACCGTCTTGCTGCCCCCATACCCCTCCCTCCCCTCCCTCCCCTTTGCCCAATCACAGTTCCTCCATTTTTCCCATGCCCCCAGCCATTATGGATCACTATTTATTTATCAGAGAGAACATTTGACCTTTGGTTTTTTGGGATTGGCTCAGTTTGTACTTACATGATATTCTCCAGCTCCATCCATTTACTTGCAAATGCCATGTTTTATTATTCTCTTTTGGTGCTGAGTAATATTACATCATGTAAATATATACCACAGTTTCTTTATCCATTTATCTATTAAAGGGCATCTAGGCTGGTTCCACAGTTTAGCTATTGTGAATTGCAGCTTCTATAAACATTGATGTGGCTGTGTCCCTGTAGTGTGCTGATTTTAAGTCCTTTGTGTATAGACTGAGGAGAGGGATAGCTGGGTCAAATGCTGTTTTCTAAGGAAACTCCATACTGCTTTCCATATTGGCTGCACCAATTTGCAATCCCACCAGCAGTGTATGAGTGTGCCTTCTCCCCCACATCCTCGCCAACACTTATTGTTGTTTATATTCTTGATAACTGCCATTCTCACTGGCATGAGATGAAATCTTAGAGTAGTTTTGATTTGTGTTTCTCAAATTACTAGAGATGTTGAATATTTTTTCATATAATTGATGGTTGAATGTATATCTTCTGAGAAGCATCTGTTCAGCTCCTAAGCCCATTTATTGATTGGATTGTTTGCTTTTTTTGGTGTTTTTTTGAGTTCTTTATATATCCTGGAGATTAGTGCACTATCTCACATGCATGTGGCAAAATTTGCTCCCAAAATATAGGTTATCTATTCACATCACTGATTGTTTCTTTTGCTGAGAAGAAGCTTTTTAGTTTGAGTCCATTCCACTTATTGATTTTTGTGCTTTAAGAGTCTTGTTAAGGAAGTCGGGGCCTAATCTGATGTGATGAAGATTTGAGCCTACTTTTTCCTCTATTAGGCTCAGGTCTCTGTTCTAATTCCTACGTCCTTGATCCACTTTGAGTTGAGTTTTCTGCATGGTGAGAGATAGAAGTTTAGTTTCATTTTGCTGAATATGGATTTCCAGTTTTCCCAGCGCCATTTGTTGAAGAGGCTGTCTTTTCTCCAATGTATGTTTTCGGCTCCTTTGTCTAGTCTGAGATAACTGTATTTATGTGGGTTTGTCTCTGTGTCTTCTATTCTGTACCGTTGGTCTACATGTCTATTTTGGTGCCAATACCATGCCATTTTTGTTACTATTACTTTGTAGTATAGTTTAAGTTGTGGTATTGTGATGCCTCCTGCTTCACTCAAATAATTTTAAACAGTCTAAAGTGACTGCTTATTAAAATGGAGCGATCATCGAACATCAATAAACTGTTCTTCTCCAACTAGTGAGTTATCATATTAGGACATTTGCAAACTGGATAAAGTTCTAATATCTCTAAGACAGTTTTATGAAATCTGGGCAGAGAAAGGTCGAGTGGATCAACACAGCAGGACTTAGCAGCTGGTCCTCTGCTGTTTTGGGAAGTAAACTTTACCAGGAGTGGCCACGCTTGTGTTTGTATCAACTATGTCACCTAGGTCTGCCTGGGTGCTCAGTGGAGAGCTGAGTGACAGACTGGGTACCTATGGTCACATGGTCAGCAGGTGGAAGATGTTGATTGCTACTGGACTGTTCTAGAGTTTGCCGACCTCTGATGTGTAGCCTCAGTGAAAAGGGCTGCCCTGGGTAAAGTCCAGCATTTCCCTGGGTGTGAGGAAAGCCCACCCTCAGTAGTTTGTGGATCTGTGTTCTCTTGTTCCCACAGAGTGACCACCCAACTCTGTCTGATCACGAGAAGTTTAACAACTACTCTTTCGACGCAGAGGAATTCTTGCGCCTTGTCCTTCAGGCTGCCGACCAGGTACTGCAACACCCCAAGTGGCCGTTTAGGAAGTCTCACGACGAGTTATGAAGGCATCGGGTCTGTGGGCAAGAAGAGGGTCTGCCCGACACACCACCTGGCAACACAGCGCCACGGGACCTTTTCYAGGCCAAACTACTTCCAGGACGTTTGTGTTTTCTAGTCTTTGTTTCATGTGTTTGTTGTGTCATTGCTACAACAGCAATAACTTTGCACTGAAAAATGGACTTTTTTTATAGTTTAAAACTGGGTGATTGAGCTTTCTTCTTAGGAATACCAAAGTTTTCAATTTTCTCAGCTTTAAAAACTTGTAAATGTTTTTGTAAAATTTCTTGTGATTGTAACTGCAGAATATTCCGACCTGTTGGTATGTGGGCAGATTAAGAATGGCTCCTTTTGCTTGCCGTCATCTGTTGATAACACTGTCAGGAAAGGACACACACACGCACGCACATGCACACACATCATGATTTTCAGTGCCAGGCTACAGGAATGTCTTGCAGATCAGTGTCCAGCCTTCTCCAGGCTGTGAGCACTGAGCACCTGAGCGAAGCCTGCCACTGTGTTAACAGGTCCTCAGACATTGCATATCGCAATTACGTTTTCCTCAAAGTAACCACTCTGTGATAAACCCAATCAGTCCCTTGTGGCTGGTTTGCACTGACTCTTGTGGCTGTGGAGAGCGTCATGTTGAATTTGCAGGGAAAAGAGTGGTCTCCACTGTGCAGCTATCTGTGGCTGCATAAGTGTGCACATCCACTTAAAGCAGCAGCAAGTGTTCCTGTCTGTACAGATTTCAGTGGCCAAACACAGAGGTTTTCCCCTAACAAAATAAGACAATAAAAAGGTGGACATGTGAATTATCCAATCAAATGAAATCCATAAAAAAAAGTGATATTGATGAAAAAGAATACCAAAATGAAGTTCAACTCCAGGAACCGACTCATTACTTCCTGTTCATGAACTACAAATTTAGCTGTGAGAAGCTGTGGACTTTTTTTTTTTTGCACCCAGAATGTGAAGTTCACATTTAAGAACACTTGAGTCATCTAATTGGAGAGTAGTTACTTCTGTTTTTTAAAGTGGGGATTAGCAAATTACAGCAAAACGAAAGAGTGTTTTTTAAAATTTTAGAGTTGTTTAAAAAAAAAAAAAAAAGAACATGCAAGGGAGAAGTGATGTTCCAAACAAAATGTTTGTATCTAGAACTTGACAGAAGTTTGCTGACCTTTCCTTTAAAGGACTAGCACAAGCTTCTAGATAGTGATATATATTAAGGTATCTGTGAAGAAAACAGTGCATTACTCTGGGGAAAGCTCCGATTTGATTCTGAAATGGTATGAAAGGAACGATAGCATCATGCATTTTTAAATGACAGGTATTGCCACAGTTACTGGTGTGGGGCACCAAGTCCCCATGTGGGAGGACTAGGTACCCGGCACCAGGCCCTGGTGTGCCCACATCAGGAAGGTAGAGACCTCTGAAACCGGAGTGACCCATTTATCTTCTTACCTGCTTTTACAACACAGTGGAAATGGGACTCCACAGACTATTGAGAATTTCAGAAATCTAGCCCAATTTCACAATAAAACTATTTGAATATTTAGCATTTAGAATACATTTTATACCAACAAGAATGTACATTTGACACTTTCGTTATGGAATTCGATCAGACTTTTAGGTGGGACCAAAGAAGGTCTTCAAGTTGTTATAATATTTAAAATGTCAAGTCTGKTTTTTTTTTTTTTTTAAGACTTTGTAGGGGATGCATTTCATTGTCCATTTTGGGTATGGCTTTGGAATAAATTTTCTTATATTTCAATTAAACGGCTGAACCATTTTCATTTTCAGGGTTTCCTGTGTCTGAATGTTATCGACTTGCTTCTTCAACCTGGTAGTTGGTAGAATCTAAAAATTAAGGTGCTCACTGATGAATAATTCAGCTTAATCGAATATTATACCTTACGTTTATTTCCTAGCTTTCTAACTGATGCTTCCAGTAAATGTGGATGGAGCCACTGCCGTGTCCTAGCGCCTGTTGTAGGTTCTGGGGGAGGAGACAGACGGGGACAGCATTAGTACAACAGGGTGCCTGGCCCTGATGTGGGCGCGGAGGAGACCACAGCCAGAGAGGGCGGCGGAATGTGGGTGAAGCTGGCCCTGTACACGGAAGAAGGGGGTCAGCGAGGTCCTACATGAAGATGTCACATGGCAGGGCTGGGAGGAGGCGCAGAAGGGAGCAGCACAGAACCCCAGGCAAAGAGCATTCAGGAAGCCACACGTGCGTGGCCCTGGGGCAGCAGCAGCTGCGAGGCCAGCTGAGGGGAGGTGACTGGAGCAGAGGCTGAGACTCCCCTCAGTTGGTTCTGATAAACCTCGGAGAGATCTGGACCACAGGTGAAGACCCAGCTCTCCTAAAGACAGGGCAACTCCAGCCCMTGCTGGGAATGGGCTGCCATGGTGGGTGGTGTGCTACGAGGTGCTTAGGATCAACACCATGGGGAGCTGGGGGGGAGGACTGGGGGGGTGCCGTGATTGAGCTGTGGAGCAGGCCCAGGTGAGCCTGTGGGGCCATCGTCCGCTCTGCAGTCCTTCCAAGGCCCCCAGGAGGCAGGGATGCCCACATCAAGAGGTCACAGATCAGGCCCTCTCCAGAAAGCCCTGCAGAGTTGGGCAGGGCACCTGCCTTCAACTGATAATGGAGCTGCCCTGGGGTCCATCAGCAGGGAGCGTTCACCCACAGGGGCCTCTGCCCTACAAAAGAGCCCCTGTCCTGCTGGCCCCTCCTGGTCTCCTACAATCTGGGGCAGGGCACGTGAGAAGGCCTGGCTCCGCCCCTCTCACAAACCCCGCCTCTCTCGCAATCCCCGCCCCTATGGAAATCCCGCCCCTCCCTCAGTCCCCGCCCCTCTGGAAACCCCGCCCCCCTGGAAATCCCGCCCCTCCCTCAATCCCCGCCCTCTGGAA